ATTCCTCTTCCTCTTCAGACTGGGAGGCAGGCTCAGATAAATTCATGGATGTGCCAGGCCATTTGCGTTAAGATTGCTGTGATTATGGGCTTATAGCTGCAGCCCTTCTCTTTCCTCGTGTGGTGGGTGCTCTCGATGCTACGACTTTCTTTGGTGCCATTCCTGGCAATTAAAGTGAAGTAAGTACATGGTAAATAATTTGTAACATATGGAAAAGAAGTGAAAGGCAAAGCATATTCTACGGAGCACTTATGCGATTGCATAACAAATATATGGACCACGAAGTGCACCATATAATCTACCATGTTAAGAGTAACAAATTATGCGGACCGCAGAAGTGGTCGCATAATTACTCTACGACCGCAGATCAGACGCATATTTAACTTGAAATTTGGCTTTCGCCTGTTGGCTTCTACGACCGATATGCGGTCCGCAGAACCATTCCGTGGCCGTAGAATCAACCGCATAATGAGTTTCCACAAGCCCACAAACATACAAGTATTCGATGATTTTGCGGACCCCAAATCAGTTATGCAGACCGCAAAGATCATCTTCCCCATATAAAAATCACCCACATACAATATTTTGCAACTCATGTTCTTCTATCCTACACAGCTAATGCACAATTATCACGAAACAACTACACACACTCAACACCAGATCGATTTTATGTTTAGCCTAACAATGCCAACGCGCATTGTCAACAATCACAACACCCACAAGCACAAATTAGTAATCCTAACTCTAACCCCCTCCTAATTAACACATCAATTATCCCTCCCAAATTGAACACCCAGTACAAGAATTAAAGAAAAAGGTAAGAAGGCACGGGTATCATGGAGAAAAGGGAAGAATGAGGCGAGTAAAAAAATTCAAATCACCGTAGTAAGAGGAAGGGCGAAATTACATACCAGATTGTGGGGAAATCGAGCAAGTCACTTGGACGTGAATCTTCTGAGCAAGGTGAGTTGAGTATTGCCTTTTATTCTGTTTCTTTCCTTTGTATTCTTTTCGTTTTCATGTGTGTGAAATTAGAGCAGGGAAGTGGACTTAGGGAAGAGACGAAGGGACTAATACCTTGCCTGGTTTGCCATGTGATTCCTATCGCAAAACAGCTTCTGCGGTCGCAGAAGTGTTTTGTGATGGTTTAGTACCTGGGTGGTGTGCAACAGATGTGTGACCCACTCTGCGGTCGCAGAACTATTTTGCGGGCCAAAAAAGTTGACTTTTCTCCACATTTTGAAGGGCCAATTTTCATGATGCTCTATTGATGTATGCGACCAATTTGCTGTCCACGAACCCATTATGTGGCCGCGTATGTTTCCGCAGAACAACAGTTGAAGCTCAGTTCATTTCATTTTCCCTCTGCTTTTGCATCCCATTTCCTTGCATTTTGAGTAACCTGCACTCTAAAACATGCACGTCAAAATGTTTAACTATTACAAATAAACCTACAAAGATAAAAATATAACCAAACACGTTTCCAACACATGGGTTTCCTCCCAAGAAGCGCTTGATTTAACGTCGCAACACGATGATGTTGCCCCTCTTAGCGAATCAGTGGTGGAGGTTTGTACATGACTATCTTTGAGTTTGAATTGTTCTTGTCACACCCCGAACCTAGGAGCGAGACAAGCACCCCGTGCCTCACCTAACCTGGCGTACCAAATTACGACTAAGGGACTCTGAACACATAATGTCATACTTTGGCCATGGGGCCACCTTGCAAGACAATTTGCGAAGCAAAATATAAAACTGAATGGAAACTAGCACTAACTAAATATCAATATAAAGCTAGGCCGACAAGGCCGTCATAGCTACTACAGCTGACAAACCACCAATTTATACAAACCCAACATACTGCACTAACCAACAGGATATGCCTACAAGCCTCTACTGATAGATGTACTGTGATCGGAACAGGGCCCCGACCTACCCATTTCTTTTCTCCAATAGTTCCAAGGTAATGCTTCACCCTTTGGCCATTTACTTTGAAGGTTCGAGTCCTATCCTCATATTTTTAATTTAATAGTGCCATACGAAGACACACTAACAACTTTGAATGGGCCAGACCATTTGGATTTGAGTTTGCCTGGAAAGAATTTCAACCTTGAGTTGAAAAGTAAGACCACCACTAGATTTCAATTCCCGCTTCAAGATATTCTTGTCATGAACAAACTTCATTCTTTCTTTATACATGGCTGCATTCTCATAGGCATGGAAACGAAACTTTCCATCTCATTAAGTTGTGTCATCCTTAGATTAGCAGCTTTGGCCTAGTCAAGGTGTAACTTTTTCAACGCCCACATGGCTTTGTGTTCAAACTCCACTAGAAAGTGAAAACCCTACCAAAAACCAACCGGTAGGGTGAGGTGCCAATGGGTGTCTTAAATGCAGTTGGATAAGCCCACAATGCATCATCTAGCTTTCTTGACCAGTCGGTCCTGTTGGCATTAACAGATTTTGCTAGAATATTTTTGATCCCTCGGTTGGAGACTTCAACTTGACCACTTGATTGAGGATGATAAGGGGTGGACACCTTGTGCTTATCTTCATATTTCTCAAGCAACCCTGCAAAAGCTTTGTTACAAAAGTGAGAACTGCCATCACTAAGGATGGCTCTTGGGGTTCCAAACTGAGTAAATATGTTCTTCTTCAAGAAGGTGGTTACACTCCTTGCCTCATTGTTTGGAAAGACAATTGCTTCGACCCTGTTTGCGACATAATCCATTGCTACCAAGATATATGTCATGTTGTAAAAGCTTACGAAGGGACCCATAAAATCTATCACCACACATCAAATATCTCTACCTCCATCACAAAAATCATAGACATCTCATGCCTTCTAGGAATTGACCCTTGTATTTGACATTGATCACATGCCTTGACCATTAGGTTTGCATTTTGGTAGATCGATGGCCAATAATAGCCACATTCAAGCACTTTTTCCGTTGTACGATTTCCACCATGGTGACCCCTAACTGGAGAGTCATGACATTATTTGAGAATTTAAGTTACCTCATCTTCCGGAACACAACACCGAATGATGTTGTCGGCGCAAATCCAGAATAAAAAAGGTTCATCCTAATAGTATTGCCTACAATCCCGCAAGAACTTTTTCTTTTGATAAACTTCCAATTCGTCGGGGATAAGGTCACTAGAAGTTAGCGATGTCGGCATACCAAGGAGTTTAGGTTCTAGATATTGCCAAAAGGTGTTCATCTGGGAAGGCATCATTAATTTTAAGATCTTCTTTTGGTCTCCCTGACTCTTCAAGCCTAGATAAGTGATCCGCAGCTTAATGTTTTGTCCCTTTCAGATCTTTGAATTCAAAGTCAAACTCTTGTAACAAAAGAACCCATTGAATTAATCTCGGTTTAGTATCCTTCTTATTCATAAGGTAGCGGAGAGCAGCATGATCGGTGTAGACTATCACCTTGGATCCCAACAAATAGGCTCGGAATTTTTCAAAAGCATAGACAATGGCAAGCAGTTCTTGCTCAGTTACGGTGTAATTCATTTGTGCACCATTGAGTATTTTGCTTACATAATAGACATGATGAAGAATCTTGTTGTGTCATTGACCAAGCACTACCCCAATAGCCACACCACTGACGTCACACATGAGTTAAAATGGAAGAACCCAATCAGGTGTGACAATAATAGGTGTCGTGGTGAGCCTTGCGTTAAATTCCTCAAAAGCCTTGAGGCACTTCTCATCAAACACAAATTTAGCATCCTTTTCTAGGATATTTCACATGGAGCTTGCAATTTTTGAGAGGTCCTTGATTAATCGCCGATAGAAACCGGCATGCCCTGAAAAGCTCCGGACACTTTTGACCAAATTGGGAGGAAGAAGCTTGGAAATTACTTCAATCTTTTCTCGATCAACCTCAATTCCTTGCTTGGAGATTTTGTGGCCAAGAACAATACCCTCATCCACCATGAAGTGACATTTTCCCCAATTGAGCACAAGGTTTGTCTCCTCACATCTTTTGAGTACTTGCCTAATATTATCAAGGCAATGCTCAAAGAAATCACCAACTACAAAGAAGTCATCCATGAATACTTTTATAAATCCTCCACCATGTACGAGAAAATCGACATCATGCACCGTTGAAATGTAGCCAGGGCATTGCATAGCCCAAATGGCATCTGTCTAAAAGCAAAGGTCCCACACGGACTTGTGTCGTCTTCTCTTGGTCCTCTAATGCTATGTTGATTTGGTTGTAGCCGAAGTAACCATCCAAGAAGCAATAAAACGATCTTCCCGCTAGCTGATCAAGCATTTGATTAATAAAAGGCATAGGGTAATGGTCTTTTCAAGTAGCACTATTGAGCTTCCGATAGTCCATGCAAACTCTCCACCCGGTCAATGTCCTTGTTGGAATGAGTTGATTTTTATCATTTTGAATCACGGTCATGCCTCCCTTCTTTGGCACACATTGCACCGGACTCACCCAAGGACTATCGGCAATAGGGTAGACAACACCGACATCCAACCATTTTATAATTTCTTTCTTCACCACTTCTTGCATGGAGGGATTTAACCTCCTTTGATACTCCACACTAGGTTTTCTCTCTTCATCTAGTTGGATTTTGTGCTCACAAATACTGGTGGGAATCACTCGGATATCCGCTATAGTCCAACCAATGGCCCGTCTATGCTCCCTCAAGGTCTCCAATAAGTGTTCAACCTGTACATCATTTAACAAAGAGGAAATAATTATGGGTAGAGTTTCATTACAGCCAAGAAATTTATACCTTAAGTGCGACGGAAGTGGCTTGAGCTCAAGTTGTGGCAGCTTGACGATTGAAGGTTTAGAGGGAGGAGTGGCTTTATTATCCATGTCAAGAGAAAGCTTCTTTGGTGCATAAGTGTAGGAACCCATCCCTTCCAATGCATTCACCATTTCCACATATCCTTCTACGTCCTCACCATCAAAATTCATCAAAATCGCCGCCAATGCCTCACCAAGGCATTCTTATTTCATCTTTACCTAAACGGCATCCTCTATCACATCAACAACATCAATGACCGAGATACTCTCGTATGCATTTGGCAATTTCATACCCTTACTTGCTTGAAAGGTAACTTCTTCGTCATTAACCTGGAATTTAATCTCATTTCTTTTCGAGTCCATGATTGCTCTCCCGGTAGCAAGGAATGATCTCCCCAAGATGATAGGGATCTCTTTATCCACTGAACAATCAAGAATAACAAAATTGGCGGGGAGGAGAAACTTCCCCACATTCACAAGCACATCATCCACTATCCCCACCGGTCGCTTTATCAAACAGTTGGCCATTTGCAATCTCATACTTGTAGGCCTAGGAATTCCCAATACCACTTGCTTGTAGATAGCAATAGGCATTAAGTTGATGATATCCCCATTATCACAAAGAGCTCGTGCAAAGTCACGCAATCCAATAGTGCATGAAATGGTGAAAGCCCCCAGATCCTCTTTTTTTTGGACGATAATTGTTGCAATGATAGAGCTAACCCGGTGGGTGACACTCACCACTTCATTCTTGGTGGTTTTATTTTAGTGATCAATTCCTTCAAGTACTTAGAAAAATTGGACATCTATTGAAATGCTTCCACAAACGGAATGTTTACCGATAATTGCTTTAGGATGTCATAGAACTTATCGAGTTTGCTATCATCAACCCTTCTAGCTAGTCTTTGAGGAAATGGAGGAGGTCTGGGAATCAGTGCTAGAGGTTTTGGTGCCTCTATTACTTTTTCCTCAACCTCTTCACGGCTCACATCTTGAGCTTTCACCTTCTTCGGGGTTCTTTCAACTTCAATAACATTTGGTACCTCAACTTGCGACTCATCTTCTTGTTCAACATCTTCCACTTCGGCCACCCGTTCACTCTCACTTTGAAGTAGTTTCCCACTTTGAGTTGTAATGGCCATATAATGAGAGGTTGGGCCACTCCAACTACCTTTTAGGTTTGCAATTATATCACTTGGGAGTGTGCCTTTTTGCTTCTGGTTTTGTTCTCTTGATAAATCCCTCATTTGCATCTCCAACTTTTGAATAGATGCGGTGTGAGAACCCACAAGCTCGGTCAAATTTTTCATTGAGGCGTCAGACCTCTCTTGGTTTTCCAATACTATTTCAATCATGTTTTTCAAATTGGAATCACTTGAAGAGGTATCAGTTGACCTTGTGCATTCAAGGCAAGTTGTGGTATTTGGTGATTTCGTGATAAGTCTTTGTCTGGAAGATTTATTATTGTTATTTACCTGTCTCGTTGCTACTTGTTGAGTTACATACCTGTCTACTTTATGTACTTTATTATTTGACCATTAGTAAGTGTCAAAGTCGAACCCTCGTCACTACTTCTTCGAGGTTAGACTAGATACTTACTGCGTACACGTTGATTTATGTACTCATACTACACTTCTGCACTGATTGTGCATGTACTGAGACAAGTACTTCCGGTGGTCATACGGGCGCGTAGACGTACTACACGGAGACTTAGTGGTGAGCTGCCTTCTATGCTTCGATCTGCAGCACCCGGAGTCTCCCTCTTATCATGTTTATTATTTTTTTCTATTTTATTTCAGACAGTAGTTATAGTGGTTTTGTATATTCTATTAGATTACTCATGCACTTTTGGCACCGGGTTTTGGGGTTTTTAGTATATGTTCATGATTGTACCTGATGATACTACTATTCTTCTCTTATATTTTATTCACACTCTGTGACTTAGTAAGAAGAAATTTATTTTTTCCATGGTTTCAAAATTTAATTCCATTTACTTAATGAAATTCCTGATTTTAAAAGTTAAAGTGGATAGTTAAGTTGGAGATTCACACGTTGGATTGCCTAACACCATCATTGGGCGCCATCAGGACCTATTATGGGATTTGGGTCCTGAAAAGAATATAACGACCCGATAGATCAGTTTGAGTTCTAGCTTTCCATTTCGTGATTTGAGACCTTAATTAACTTCATTTGATGACTTATGACTTGTGTGCATGGTTCACTTCGATCACATGAAAGTTTAGATGTGTTTTTACAAAGAAAACTTGATTTTGAAACTTTAAATTTGTTAGGCTTGACCACAGTCAACATTCTTGGTAAAGCGACCTCAGATCGGTGTTTTTACTATTCCGGTAGATTTGTATAATGATTTTTTTGAACTTGTATGTATGTTTTGTGTGGGTCCCAGGTGACCCGAGGTAGTTTCGGCACTTATTGTGGAAAGTTAAAAATTTGACTTATGAACACTTGAAAATCTTTGAGTTTTGATGCTTGATTCTTGGTTCTTGATGTTATTTTGATATTTGAGCTTACTAGTGAGTTCATGTGAGGTTATTATACTTGTGTGGATGTTTGGAATGGGGTCTGAGGGGCTCAGGTGAGTTTCAGATTGGTTTTAGACTGATTTTTCTAAGTTTGGAATTGTTGGTGTTGTAGTCATCGCAATTGCTATGATCTGCTCGCAAATACAAGGTTATCATTTGTGAACATCACCTTATATTTGTGAATAGGGGATGGGAAAGCCAGGTTCGCAATTGCGACCCTTGAAATTGCGAAGTGAGTGTCGCATTTGCAACTTCTGAGGCTTAGGGCCTATTTCGCAATTGCTATCAATGGTCTGCAATTGCAAGCTGCACAATTACGAACAAGAGTTCCCAATTACAACATGTGCAGTTGGGGTAAAGGTAAGAGATTTCAGGATTAGATCTGTTTATTCCATTTTTGTGACCTAGACTTCACTTAGAGGCGTTTCTAGAGGGATTTTCTTCCCAACTTCAAGGGTTAATGACTTTAAATTGTTTTTGATTAATTCCCATTACTGTCCATAGATGTTCATCCCTAAATCTAGATTTTCATAGAGTAGAAATAGGGTGTTTGTGTAGAAACTTAGTATTTCATATTTTAGAGATTTAGACCTCGTTTTGAGATCGGATATCTAAACAAATTAGATATTTGGACTCGTGGGTGAATGGGTAATGAGAATTTGGTCTTGATTTCGGCTTTCGACCAAGTAGGCTGTGATAAGTGGTGATTTTACCATTTATTTGAGTCTCATTTTCTTTGATTTTTGGTTCATTTATTCATAAAGTTAGCTTGTTTATTGTGTTAAGCTAGCATTTCAGGTTTGACTAAGATTAATTGGTATTGGAGTCAAAAGAGGGTTGGATGCGCAAAAAGATAAGATAATTGGATGAAATGCCTTCAGTTGTGACACATGCGACCCAAGATTCGCATCTGCGAGGCTCGCACCGACCAAGGTGACCACATTTGCGAAAAATAGACTGGACAGAACAACACCTTCACATCTGTGGAGTGATACAGTCGCATTTGCGGAATTAGACTGAACCAAGTCCTTCGCATCTGCGAGAACATTCATTGCACCTTTGACCCTGGACCTCCGCACCTACATTCATGAAATCCGCCCTTCGCATCTGCGCAGGCTCACATGCACCTGCGTGCCCTTTACACTCGCACATGTGATGCAAATTTTTGCAGGTGTGATCGACGATCTTCAGCCATGGGCAGATTCTTCATTTTACATTTTTGGATCCCAAATCACATATACTCAACCTAACTCACTTGGAGGAACTTCTTTGGCAGAAAATACAAGTCTTGGAGAGCTATGGTTCTACACCACACTTGGGGATTAAAGATTTGAAGTCTTTTGATTAGAAATTCTTAGTTTTTACTCATTTCTTCAATTCCTTATTATATATTAAATATCTAAGTGTGTAATATTTTATTCAATACTGGAAACTTGTTTATGGAAATATTCGTTGTTAAAGGTTGGATTAAAACTCTTGTTATGCTTATGTATTGAAAGATTGTTATGAATTATGAAGTGATTTGAATGTTTCCTTAATTATTATTGTTCTTTAATGTTTCCAAAGGGATTAGATGACTCTAGAACTCACCCATTACCTTTGAATTAATCTTGTAAAAGGAAAACTCGGGGTTGAGAAAGATTAATTAATAAGAACTTGAGACGTTAACCCTCATTTAATAGATTCGACCTAGGTATAGGATTGGACTACTTATAGTCACATTCGGGTGTACTTAATTCTCTTGATTGTTTTAGGTATAATTCAATTAGGAAGTCTTGTTAGTCTTCAGAAGAAGCTAATATAGAATTGAATCTGAGACTAATTAACATAAACTCGCTGATATTTGTAAAATCGTGAAATACATTGGATAGTTAACTTGCTTTCAAAATATCAATTTTCCATCATTACCCAATTTACAAGAGTCATATAAGTATTTTTTATAATATTCTATAATTTTTAAAGCTTTAAAATTAATTTTCTTGCATTTAAATTATTCAAATATTTAGTAATTATCCCTTCAAATTATTTTGGGGGGATTTAATCATCCAAATTTATTATTTATACCCACATATATGTTTTATAAAATTTTACTTCATTTCATATAATTACATTTGTATTTTGAGTTATTTACACAATTTTTGCAATAATAGCTTATATCCTATAAATAATTACGTTTATTATATTATTTATGCCAAAGTAGTATTTTATATTTTTATAATGTTGAGTTATTATTTTCAAGCATTTTTCACAACATAAATAATATTTTTACCATTTATTAGACATTTTACTAATTATTTTTTAATTAAATTCGGGTATTTTAAAAGGTGGCCCAAAATAGGCCAAATTCCGGACCAATTTAATGGCCCAAACGCCCAAAATCCTTAGCCTAATTCCCCCAACCCAAACCAAACAACCCATTTAGTTAACCGGTCGGTACCCGTTTTAAACGACCCGCCCCATGACTTACAATACTATGGTGTTACTTAGTACTTGCCCCACTTTTGGCAAGTACCAGTCTCTGAATCAAAAGAAATCAACTTTACTCTTCATGATTTGGACGATATTTCGTATGTATACATCCATGGCAAAGCTATGAGGGTTCGATTCACCAAGATCAACGGCCAATTTCTGACCATTGTCAAACTAGGGTTCACCTGGTTTCTTCTCCTAACCCAATTTTAAATTGATTTTGCATGTTCTTCTTTCCTTGTTTATGTTCGATTGACTGTATTTCCTTATTTGTATGTTGAATTTTACTACTATATAAACCCCCTTCCCCCGTTTCCCCTCTAAGACTTAAGACTTAACAACTATTGCTACAACTACTGCTACTACTATTATTCTCTCACTCTCACTCATTCTACTATTCTGAAATTTGAGACATTGGCCGGCTGAAAGCCAAGGCCACCAGAATTCAATTGTTGCTCCTTTCGAGACCCTTGGGAACTCTGACGCATTGAGATTCTGGGAGTCCTGCTATTTATTGCTAGTTGGGTTGTTTTTGGAACTTAATTTTCTTGTTCGTTTAATTTACAAATGGTGAGTACCTTGACTCTTGCAATTCTATTCTTAGTTGTGGTAATGCCTGGATACCCATGTTTTTTTCGAATTTGTGAACCTATATGATTACAATATATTGTTACCTTTGTTTGCAATCCTATCTGCCTTGAAGTTAGCCTATAGTCTTGTATTCTCTAGCATCGAAACTTGCCTACATCCTATACTTGGACGTCTGCCCACTATGTATATTTTGACCATCTTGAACCTGCTTAATTTACTATGTTTATGCACACATGAGTTTCCTATGGTTTTTGCTTGCCCATGTTCATGCCTTGCTCTAAATTATTAAAACTCTTAGGATACTTATTCATGCCCAGAATTTGCTCGATTGTACTTCTTTATGCTAAGCCATTCAGGCATAACTTGCAACTTGATCATGTCTATATGAATTCTGAACTCTTCAGACAAGCATGCTATTTTACCATTTGTGAACCCCCTCATTATAATTTCCTGCTTTACTACCATCATGTTCGGTAGACTCATATCTACTAGTACTAGTCTTTCTCGAGTTTAATGACTAGGGAGTCCTTGATGTGCATAATTGAACTTGCTATATGTAATCAACTTGTATTAAGTATTTGTTTACTGATTGGTTATGGTGTTGAATTTGTGATACTGTTGACCCAAAGTTTCTTTAATTGGTTTCCTTAGTAGCACTCTACTTGCCCTGAATTAGCCTACAATTCTTAGTTATATACTGCCTTGCATTCTATGTTCTTCTTGGAAAGGCTGTTGTGTATCTATCCCAAGGG